TGGTTCAGTCCTGGTTTAGTCCTGATTTAGACCTGGTTTAGTCCTGGTTTAGTCTGGGTAAAGTCCTGGTTTAACCCTGGTTCAGTCCTGGTTTAGTCCTGATTTAGACCTGTTTTGCTCCTGGTATAGTCCTCGTTTAGTCCTGGTTTAGTCCTGGTTTAGACCTCCTGGTTCAGTCCTGGTTTAGTCCTGATTTAGACCTGGTTTAGACCTGGTTTAGTCCTGGTTTAGTCCTGGTTAAGTCCTGGTTTAGTCCTGATTTAGACCTGGTTTAGACCTGGTTTAGTCCTGGTTTAGTCCTGGTTCAGTCCTGGTTTAGTCCTGGTTTAGTCCTGATTTAGACCTGGTTTAGTCCTGGTTTAGTCCTGGTTTAGTCCTGGTTCAGTCCTGGTTTAGTCCTGGTTTAGTCCTGATTTAGACCTGTTTTGCTCCTGGTATAGTCCTGGTTCAGTCCTGGTTTAGTCCTGATTTAGACCTGGTTTACACCTGCTATAGTACTGTTTTAATCCTGTTTTAATCCTAGTTCAGTCCTGGTTCAGTCCTGATTTAGTCCTGGTTTAATCCTGGTTCACATGTTGTTTTCTAAACACCGTTAACTTGAATAACATCGACGTCGTGTAGGGAGTATTATCCGCTGAACATCTCTAAAACACGAGAAACTTCAGCAAAACAAACTCCAGGCTTAAAGCTCACAAGAGTTCACTTTCCGTCATAAATCCTCTTAATGAGCTCCCCGGGGGACAGTCTGCGCTAATTGTGGACCCCGGGCCGCAGATACAAATACAAAAAAAACTATTAGGGATTTCCAAAACAGTCACGGTTTAACTCCAGCTGGTGGTGCAGGGACGGCTTCCGGCTCACCCCTCTGCGTTTATTCATCTCCGTGACTCAACAGGTGACTCAGACCAAGTGACAGATGTAAGACTAACTGCTCATTGTATCACAGCACAATGTAAATAACTGAAAGTAGGACACGCGCCAAAACTGCTCCTGCCTGAAAAAACAACAGGAAAAGCGGTTGACTTCCAATATAATCTTACATAAGTTTCATTTTTACTGCTACTTCCATTGTATTTCACTGAATCCGAGGTAGAGAAGTCAACATTTAGATGGGAAATGAATTGTTTAATTTCCCGCTTTTCAATGTTTAACTCAGACTGAATTTTAGTTGCTGAATTTTGAAGAATACGTTACATTACTTCAAATTACATTACTCAAGTGGAAGTGCAAAGTTGTGGTACTAGAAATTACTCAAAGTACTGCTCAAGTAAAAGCAGCTGCGTAACTTTTCTGGTGGAGGGTTCGTCAAACGCTTTTCTAAAATGGAGATGTTATTGTTTTGTCTGGAAGGTTTCGCAGTGTGGCATTAAAACTTTCTATCTTCACGGAGACCGAACCAGAGCAAGATACAGGTCAGATCTGTGGAGAGGCGACCCCGCTTACAGTCAGAATGTCTGTTTTTTGAGGTGCTTTTGAGCTGTAAAACCACCTGTAATCGAATAAATATAAAGTGTTAATAAAAACAAGCAGGAGAGGGATGCCCAACCAAAAAGTTACACAGTTCAGCTTTAAAGAGTAACTGTTGGAATGTAATATCTGATTTACAATTTAGTTTAGTTTAAGTTTAAGTTTAGTTTAGTTTAAGTTAATATAATATGAAAGACAAAACACTAAATAATGCACAAAAATCTGGCATTTTTTAACAAGTTTGACACAAAAATTAAAGGAATGGAAATTATAATTTTATAGTAGATTAGAATACTATATATACTATAAATAACTTTTACTAAGTTAGTAAAAATATACTTTGAGGAAAGTGCAATTTCTTAAAGTTACTTAAATAAATGTAAGAAATGTAAGTACCAGTACTACTCACCTGTGCATTATATATATATATATATATATATATATATATATATATATATATATATGTGATGTTTGAGCTGCTGTGTCCAAATAATTTCCCTTGTGGATCAATAAAGTTTGTCTAAATCTATGTCTATGAGTACTAAAAATAAATAAAAAATATTTTAATTTTCAAATTGTTTATGTAGTAGATTAAAACTGTGTTTTAAAATGTATAATTTAGCTTTTTACACCACCTAAGCCTGTCTCTTCACCTTAAAATACTCCCTACAACTGTTGATAATCCTAACAAAACTCTCCCTTATGTAACAGATATATAACATAACCTATATAACATTTATATAATTGTGTCTTATTTGACACAACTCTTTTGCTATCTTTTTTACTACTTATTTAGAATTTATTATTACCATTTATATTTTTTTTACACCTTGTTATTATTTTATATATATGATGTTTGAGCTACTATAAAAAAAATAAAAAATAAAAAAATTCAAATAAATTAATTACAAATCGTTTATGTGAACTAAAATCGTCTTTTAAACCGTATAATTTCACTTATTACACTGCTCAGACTGTCTCTTCACCTTAAAAACCTCCTCCCATCTCCCTAAAAACACTATTTAAACATAAAATACTAGTTTGTACCCACAACATTCCTCCATAATGACCTACAATAATTTCACTTATTACACCACTTATTACTCCCTACAACTGTACAACAACTCACCCTTATGTACAGATAATACTCCTAACTGTACAACAACTCACCTAATGTAAAATAATACTCCCTACAACTGTACAACAACTCACCCTTATGTAACAGATAATACTCCCTACAACTGTACAACAAACTCACCTTTATGTAACAGATAATACTCCCTACAACTGTACAACAACTCACTTTATGTAACAGATAATACTCCCTACAACTGTACAACAACTACAACAACTCACCCTTATGTAACAGATAATACTCCCTACAACTGTACAACAACTCACCTTTATGTAACAGATAATACTCCCTACAACTGTACAACAACTCACCTTTATGTAACAGATAATAATCTTATGTCCTCTTTTCTTTTTATTACTTTTCTATTTTATTTTGACTTGCACATATACATTTATATAATTATGCTACTTATTTGTAATGTATTATTACTCATCATATTTTTTACTCTTTATTATAATATTTTGTGATGTGTGAGAAATTATTTGTGGATCAATAAAGTTTATCCATGTCTAAGAGTATTACCCACCTGTACATTAAATAGGGTGACCAGATATTTAAAAAAAAATCTTTTAAACCATATAATTTAGCTTATTACATAGTCTAAGACTGTCCGTTTCACCTTAAAATACTCCCTACAACTGTCGATAATACTCCCTACAACTGTACAACTCACCCTTATGTAACATATATAACATAACCTATATAACATTTATGTAACTGTGCCTTATTTGACATGTTTAGAATTTATTATTACCAATCATATTGTTTACTCTGTTATTATATTGTGATGTGTGAGCTCCTACAATTAAAAATATTTTTAATAAAAGAATTACAAATCATTTATGTGGACTAAAATCGTCTTTTAAACTTTATAATTTCGCTTATTACACTGTTTAGGCTGTCTCTTGACCTTAAAATACTCCTTACAACTGTACAACAACTCACCCTTATATATAACATAACATATATAACATTTATATAATTGTGCCTATGTTTTTGCTACTTATGAATTATTACCATTTATATGTATTTATGTTATTTATTTATGTTATATTTTTAATAAATGAATTACAAATCGTTTCTGTAGACTAAAATCATCTTTTGAATTGTAAAATTGTAAAACTGTTGATAATACTCCCTACAATTGTACTTCAACTCACCCTTATGTAACATATATAACATAACCTATATAACATTTATATAATTGTGTCTTATTTGACACCAGTCTCTTGCTATGTTTTTGTTACTTATTTAGAATTTATTCTAAATAATAATCATTTTTTTCCCCATTTTTTTCTGTTATTATATTATATTGTGACGTGTGAGCGACTAAAAATAAAAATATTTCCAAATAAATTTATTACAATCGTTTTTGTAGACGAAAATCGTTTTTTAAACCGTATAATTTCGCTTCTTACACTGCTTCGACTGTCTCTTCACCTTAAAATACTCCCTACAACTGCTGATAATACTCCCTACAACTGTACTTCAACTCTCCCTTATGTAACATATATATAACCTAACCTATATAACATTTATATAATTGTGTCTTATTTGACACCAGTCTCTTGCTATGTTTTTGTTACTTATTTAGAATTTATTCTAAATAATAATCAAATTTTTTCACATTTTTTTTCTGTTATTATATCATTTTGTGACGTGTGAGCGACTAAAAATAAAAATATTTCCAAATAAATTAATTACAATCGTTTCTGTAGACTAAAATCGTCTTTTAAACCGTATAATTTCGTTTATTACACTGCTTCGACTGTCTCTTCACCTTAAAAACCTCCTCCCATCTCCTTTAAAACACACTATTTAAACATAAAATACTAGTTTGTACCCACAACATTCCTCCATAATGACCTACAAACTGCTTCATCTTCTGTTCTCTGTGACTCACTGGAGCGTCAGAGTGACCGCCCGGCTCCGCGCTCCACATTTCTGCGGTGTTTGGGTGTCTCCGCTCGGGACCGGAGGGAGGGAGGGAGGAGGGAGACCGGACCGGAGGGAGGGGCGGGCGCTGGCGGTGAGACGAGCCGGGCCTGGTGCAGCGACAGACGGGTCCGCTGCGGAGAGACACCCGGCGTCTCCTCCCCTCCGCCGTCCACGTGTTGTTTCTGTCCCGAATTTTACCGCCATCGTTTTCCAGGAATCCTCCCCCTGCGTCGTATCACTCCGCGGTGAAGACGAACTAGTCCCGCGTTTTGAAGCGAAAATTCCCCGCGATATCCCACAGAGTCAATTTCCCGCTCGGATCTGTTCGCCATTTCACGCTAAAACCTTAATAATAACATAAGATTGGTGTGTCATGAGGATTTGGGAGCGGGTTTTAAAGTTTTGGCGCGATTTTGAGCCGGCGGATGCGCACCAACTCGGCCGCGGTATATAAACAAAGAAGCCGACGCGGCCACACCTCTAGTCTCAGTTGGAGTGCGTCGTAGCGGCGTCGCGCACGGAGGAGGAACCCCAGGCCGGCGTAATTCAGCAGCCACTCCACAAACCATGCGTCCGCGCCTCAACTTCTACTTAACACGCAAGAAATCGCACCCGAAGACTCTTTTCTAACCGAGGACCTAAAAAAAAACAAAAAACCTTGCATTTGGACGCGTTTCCGGCGATTACCCACGACGTTTTCATCTGTCCATCTGTTTTTACGGTAAGTGCGTAGTAATGCTTTTTTCTCCATTCATTCTCCAAGTTGCAGCTTTTACGCACGCACGCCGCTCGTTCCTGTGTCAACCTTAAAACGAAATGTCACGATGCACGGTGTTTTTTGGTGTGAAATATTCTTAAGAGCTTTGTGCATGCGGGTTTCACGTGGGTTACGCACTGCCCACGCTGCTTTAAAGGACCTGGAGGACCCACACAGCGCCACGCCGCAAACCTTTGAGTTATTGCAAGGACTTTGAAGCCGATTGCACCATGCGTTTCTTACACTGAATGACATTTACAGCATCGTAAATCGATTTGCATTGCTGTCAGAGTGTGTTTTAATGCGATTTCACATGTTTTAATTATGTGGTTTGAATATTTAATTTGAGTTTTAATCGCGTTGTCATGTCAAATCGTGCGTAAAAATGCGCGTAATTTGGTTTTAATGGCGTCTTGCGATGCTCAAATGTGATTTTCGCTGCTTTTTTCACGATCTATAGGCAGAAAAATGGTGACTTGGCCACGCCACACTGCCGCTTTGTTCTCGCATACCATAGGACTCTATATAGGTCCCGTTGCATTCCCCCGTCTCCGTGCCGGCTCTGCGTACCCCGATTGAACCTTAAAACCGAACTTATCTGATTGTTTTGGCGTAACAAAGCGTGTATGCATTGTTTTTTTCACGTGCCATCACGCTGCTCTTTTGTACAAACTTGTGAAAGTGGAATCCTGCGGTGAGGGATGCGGGCCATGTGTTGGAACAGCGGTCGGGATTTTTTTTTTTTTTTTTTTTTTTTTTTTTTTTTAAAGACAGGAAAAAGGGCGAAGAAAGTTGCCCGTAGTGTGGCCAAAAGGCACGCGTTTTTCCCACTAAATATTTGCACTCGACATTTTTTTTGCAGATTATATAAGCGACGTAATGCAACGCTCTATATTCTAGTGCATTGGTGTTGGTCTTATGCAATGGTTTTGTAAGGACTTTTACTGTCTGTATTGAGCAACAGAGATTTTATTCATTTATTACAACTGATTTAATGAATTTCAAACGTTGGATTTTGCGCAAATTATATGAGATGCGTAAATAAAAAAATAACTTAGATTTTTAGTTATGTACGATAAATATTATGCAAATAAATGGGCAAAATGTTGCTTTTTAGTTAAAATTACGCTTGTATTTTCTGCACAAATGATAATACTTTGATTAATTTGTGTTATGAATTTTTTTTTGGCATTTTTACACAATTAAGTGTCATGTAATCAGTTGCATAAAGTGCTTTTTTGTAACTGGAAAACCCATATTTGCCTTTTTGCACTGTGCTCCAATCCTGCACCGCTTTTCCACACGCCGCATTCCTGCTCCTACTTAGAATTCTTTGGAGATTTATTTAAAGTTCTGGGGGGGGTGGGAGCATCGTTTCACTTTCTCAGAAGCCGGTGTCGAATTTCTGGACCCAGCTGTTCCGATGTCGTCATGGCCGGTTTTCAGAAAAGGGGGCCCCTGCTTCTTTTCTTTTTTTTTTTTTCCTTTTCTTTTTTTTTTTTCTACTTTTTTTCTTTTTTCCTTCCACTTCGCTTTCCTTCGGGGTGATTTGAGGACTTCTCCGCTGCTTAATGGGGGCGGGGCTTCGCAGAAGTGACGCGGCGCGGTGGGCGGGGCTCGGTGATGTAAACAAGACTAAAAGCGGCGCGGTGGAGCACGCTCGATTCAGTCTTGAGGTAACTTTCACTACAACTCGTACCAACACCAACGCTGCTGCTGCTTTCTGCTGACTGGATAATTATTTTTTTTTTTGCACTTATCAACAAAGAACCTCAAAGGAGCACTACGCTTTACTCGCTGTCTCGCCTTTCGGTCGGATTTACGTTTCTAACACTACCTCACACTTGGATACGAGTTTCTCCGGCTTTTGTTACCTCCTGTAAAAGGTAATTGAGTCCTGACATCCGTGGATGCTTAAATTTGAGCTATTTTTGCGATTTTATTTCTTAAAACTCACAATTCTTCATTTATTTGTCTTTTTAATTGCATTAAACATTACAAACTACTACTTGCATACTATAAAATTTCCACATTTCTTCCGTAAATTGAGTTTTGACATCTGTGGAAGTGATTTGGGTGCTTAAATTTTAGCCATTTTTACAATTTTATTTTCTATTACTGAAAATTATTATTATTTTTTTTGTATGATTTTAACACTTATGTGGCTTTTTAATTGTGTTTAACTTTACAAACCACTACTTGCATACTACAAAATTTCCACATTTCTTTCATAAATTGAGTTTTGACGTCTGTGAAAGTGAACTGTGCGTTTAAATCTTAGCTGTTTTTATAATTTTATTTCTTTTAAACTTTATTGATTCCTTATTTTTTTTACAATTTTAACACTTATTTGACTTTTTAATTATGTGTAACACTAAAAAACACTACTTTTATATAATAAAACTTCCACATTTCTTCCACAAATGTATTTAGTGTTTAGTTTACACATTTTTTGGAATGAATTTAGATTTTTATTTACTTTGGTGTTAAAAAATTATATATTTACCGAGTAGACTGAGGACTCTTGAGAGACAATGTGTTAAAACTGTATTTACAAATTGGTTTAAGTTGAGTTTGGTTTACGTTACAAACTGTATTGTTCAAAAAAAAAAATCTGCTTTTCAAGTATTTTGTGGTTTTAAATCGGCTTTGTGTGCCTGGTCTCTCTGCGTGAGGCTGGAAGCAGCATGGTGCCAGCCTCTGCTCTAGTTTCTCGACCAATTTTTTTCACGTGCACTTTTTGTGAATGAAGTTGCGAGTAGAGCGGCGCGGCGTAGTACAACGCCATGTTCCTCCCACGTGGGTCAAAACTGACAAGACAAACGGGTTTTACTTCAATTCAACGCAGTGGTCAGAGAATGAAATAACAATTGCCACTGAAAGCACATGGTTTATTTTGTGCAAGGAAATGTAAATAATGTTGGTTTGTCATTTTATTGAAACATGAACAAAGAGTTTGCCAGTGTTTCGGGTGTTGTTTTTTAGATTTCTTTCATTAAAGCTTCAATTTATTGTCACTGTATTGAGATTTCCTCCTATTTCATAAAAGAAAACTTCAACTTTTCACCGTGTTGCCAAATACTTCTTGTTTTTCAGCATTTTTTTCCTTCACTATCTTGAACAATCTCAAACAACTCCTGCATTTTTATTGAGCTGTAAACTTGCTCCAACCCCACTCCCTTCTTTTTTTACATCATTATCTTTGCCATGTTGACAAATATTTCGAGTTTTTCAGCATTTTTACTTCACCATCTCAGATATCGCCATTTTTTTGAGCTGTAGACATGCCCTAACCCCAAAGTTTTCAGCGTTTGTACTTAACCTATCCATCTTGAAACATCTCAGGCATCTCCTTCCTTCATTGAATGTAAACATGCTCTAAACTTTCTCCTCTTTCTTCTCTCCGCAGACCACAGTCGTCATCATGTTGCAAAGCTTCGGTCAGTCCCAGGACTGGCTTTACTCCGAGCCCCTGTTCGACGACGACTTCTACCAGAACTTGGTGAAAAACCTGGAATCTCTCCCCACCCCTCCGCAGTCCCCTCCCATGAAGCCCTCGGAAACCTCGGACTCCAAACCCCTGTCCAAGGAGGATCAGCTCAGCTACGTGTCCAACATCCTCCTGGAAGACTGCGACATGCAAGCACTTAACTGGAACTGTGACCTGTTCGAGGAGAAGGAGAGCAGTGGCGCGCAGTGCGAGGATGGGGCAGAGTATTTTCTCTGGAAGGAGTTTGGCAAGGGGTTCGACGAGAAGCTGGTCTCGTCCATGCTCAGCTCCAGCCCTCTTCTCTCGGACATTGACACCAGCATCTTCGAGGAGATCGCCGGCTCCACGCTCGACTGCCAGGCCCTGATGGAGAACACGCCGGAAGGAAGCGAAGCCACGTCAGACTACGGTTCCACCGGAGGAGAACTTTCAAACTACTCGTCTTCAGACTCTGGTAGGTTTGAGGACATTCACTCATTGTAATTGGACATTGGGGAACTACCAAAACGTTTTAGTGGTTGGGAAATGGTCACTTTATTTTTATTTTCTATCACACTTTTCCACCTTTCAGGGCTCAAAACGCTTTACATCTTGCCCAAGAACTTGTGTGGGAGCTGGAATCGAATTTAAATATGTCACAAACTTAAAATATTGACGTTAATGAAAAGTGTGTAGCTTTGAGTCGAATTAACACTTGTAGAGTTAAAACTGCCATTGCTTTTTTTTGTCATTCTACCTTCCTAATAGGAGAGGTGCCCAAGAAATATCTAGAAAATTATTTTTTGGCCATTATAACACTCTAAAATCCATTGTAAATTTACTAAATATACACGCGCACACACACGTTTTTACTCTACAAGTGTAAATCCGACTCAAAATTACCAAGGCATGTATATATATGTAAATTTACAGTGGATTTTAGAGTGTTATAATGGCAAAAAATTAAAAAAAAATTTTTTGGCCCCCTCTCCTATTAGGAAGTTACAATGACCAAAAAAAACAAAGGCAGTCTTAGTAAACTATGAGTCAAATTCACACTTGTAGAGTTAAAACGTGTGTGTGTCTATATTTAGCACATTTACTGTGGTGTTTAGATTGTTATAATGGCAAAAAAATGTAACTTTATAGATATTTTTTGACTCCTCTCCTCTGAGGAAAGTACGATGAGTAAAAAAAGTGAAATTTGAAATGTTCTGTAATTGGAAGGTGATATCTCTGGTATGTTTCCCATTGTTAGTACTTTGTCATGCCCCCCAGACAGTTTTATTCACACAGTCGAAGTATTTGCGTAAAGCCTCCGGAGGGGCATGACTCAGGCTGAAGCCGGCCTATTAAAAGCACGAGCCCCTGTAATGATTTGGTAGACTCACGCTTTTATGGGAAATCTGATCCAGCCCCAGTGCTCGGCTTAACGTGACTCATCAGGATCAGAGGAGTGAGTCAGACTTTGAGCCCGGCAACGCTGACCGGACCGGGCCCGAGCCTCACCTGCCGCCGTCCATCAAAACCCGCTCATGCCCTCGAGTCCCCGCCCTCGCCCACACATCTTTTCCAAGTCCAGATAAAGCGGTGTAAAATCCTAAACATTAACTGGATATTATCAGGAAAATAAAGGGAGTGTTGAGAAAGATAAGATTCCAAAGCGACGATTGCACAGGAAAATATAACAATGATTTTAAAAATGTAAATAATTAACAATAGTTTGAGTCACTGAATAAAAAAAATAGGTCTTTATTGCTCTCAAGAACCACTTGTAGGCCGAGCTGATCTTTGAACTTTCTAGAGCTTACTTTTTATCAAATGTTGATAGTTAAATGGATTAAGTCATGGTAATGAGACTTTACACCGAATTAACGAAACTATTTTTCTGTGCCACAACAGAGGAGGAGATCGACGTCGTGACGGTGGTCCGCTGCCCGTCTAGCCCCTCGCCTTTACCCTCGCTGGCCGACATCCGACAGCGAGAACAGGACGAGGCGGAGCAGCAGCGGCTCGCCCTGCAACGCCACAACGCCGAGATCCAGCAGCAGCACAACTACGCCGCGCCGTGCCCCGCCTCCCCGCCGCCGTCGCACGCCCACAAACGCTCCCGGGACGGATCGGCGCGCCACCACCACCACCGGAACTCCAGCTCGTCCTCCTCGTCGTTGTCCTCCTACGCCTCCTCGTCGCGCTTCGGCTCCAGGAACTCCACGGAAACGGAAGACGAGGAGGAGCGGCGGCGGACGCACAACGTGATGGAGCGACAGCGCCGGAACGAGCTCAAGAACTGCTTCATGCACCTGCGCGACAACGTGCCCGAGCTGACGCGCAACGAGAAGGCGTCGAAGGTGGTGATCCTGAAAAAGGCGCGGGACTGCATTTTCAACCTGGAGGACGAGGCGCACCGGCTGCAGAGGAAAAGGGACCAACTGCGAGCGCGTCAGGAGGAGCTAAAAGCTAGGCTCGCGCAACTACGAAGCTAATGGCGAACGCGCTAAAATGACTGTGTACAAAGACTCTGGGGAAACGGACTTGTAGTAATGACAGCCCAATCACAGGAAATAAAGTTTTTTTACAACTTTACAAACCAGTGATACATGGAGTAAAAGAGCAAAACTTATGTTATATACTGTAAATGTTGCCGTCTTAACTGTTAGCTTTCGTACGGTTAAAGTATTTGTTCGGATAAAGCTGCAAGTCAGTTTTATTTATAAAGTTGCTTATTTTTATATAACTATGCCAATAAATTTTGTATTGAAATGAGAAATGAGACTTCTAATCTTCATCGCATTTGCTTTCACAATTAAAATGTGCAAGATTTTTTTGTAAAAAAAAAAAAAAAAGCTTCAAAAACTCAGAATTTGTATCTGGAATGTGTAAAGAAAATAGAACAACATGTGGTTTAAGAATGTTAGATTTCAAATTGATATCTAAGAGTTAAAGATTTTATTTTATTTTATTTTTTTGGCCATTTAAAAACAAATGAATTGATTGGCCACAAATCATCATTGACATCTTATGAAGCTATATTAGAAATTGGAACAGTAAAAGTGAGATGAAAATGGATGAATTTCTAAAAATCTGTAAACAAAAATATATATACCCTGAGGTTAAAAGTTAATAATATTGTTCAAAATCTCACGTAATCTGAAACCTTTCTTCTACCTTTGCCTGTAAAACTGAACATTACCTCAGACATCTCTGTGCCTCGGTTTGAAGACTTGTAAATCAGTCTTTATTTTTTGGTGCTTGGGCTGAAGTTTTTGGGGAGAAACGGCGTAAGAAAAACTCGCGTACGCACAAATGACGGACATTTCAAGAAGTGAATATTTTTGGAAAAGATGGAGACACTCATTGCCTCAAATCATTCACATGCCTCGACTGCTGACTGTTGGATTCATGTTAAACAATTTTCACTTGGACTGAAAAAAGAAAAGCAGGAAATGCACAAATGTTTTGTTTTGTATAGAAGTCTTATGGTACAACATTTGGGATTTGAGTTTATAAATATATATATATAAAATAGTGGTTTGTATAAGTTGAATTATTTGCGTTTTAATGAGTAAAATTAAGTTGAAATAAATGCTGTTAGTAGGTTACGCCTACTTAATTTCCCACTGAAATTTTGACTTGGCCTGTTTCATGTTTAAAGGTCCAATATTACGACTTATATTAGGTTTTTGTGAGGTTTAAGACGTGTTTTAATGCGGTTACCTCATCAAAAACAAACCTGGAGTTGAGTTTTGTGATGTCACAAAGAGGTAGTTTTCAATTTAATAACTACTTTTACCTTTTGTTCAGTAGAGATTGGCCATTCCAGGGCTGTATGGAGTTTAAAATCACAGTAGAGCACTTTCTGTATTACTTCCAGAGTGTTTTTTTTGTATGATAGATGAACTCAGCCTAAAACGTCTATGAGTTTGTGTTTAAAAAAAAAAAAGATGAATTGCGAATTAAACAAAACACAACTCCAGGTCTTTAAACATAAATATAGAGAAAATGTCATAATATGGACCCTTTAACCCACTTTTTCCTCATTATGAATTGCTTTTATGTCCAGTATAGAACTATATTTTTACGGCTAAAGGTGCTATGGCGTTGAATCAAACTCAAAATAGTTATGTTTATGTAAAAAATACAACCGTACGTATATAGTCGTATTTTGGTTAAAAAATTATAAGCATAATATTTTACTAGAACAAGTATGTAGGTCAAGTTAGAAAAGTTAAAATGACGAATGTTTTTTAATTTACTTTATCTTGAAACTAGCTTAGATGTTAGCTAGCCTTTTCAAACAACAACAACAATGGATGATGCTAATCTGCTAAAGCTAATCTGAAGCTAAGATAAAAACAAAACACACACAAAGTTTTTTTTGTGATCTATAACTTCTGAAGTTAAGCTAAAAACAAAACACACACAAATTAACAGTTTTTTGTGATCTATAATTTCTGATACAATTTTGAAATCCCAAATGTTGTACTCGAAGCGGGAGTGTAGCAGATGTGTGGCGTTGGTGTAAACTTGAATGATTTTTAGCGTATTTTAGAGCCATACTAAAACCGCCATCCCTCCAAACCTGGGCCCAAAGTCCGGGTTTTTATTTTATTTTATTTTTTTAGACACGTTCAGGTTTCCACCACTCGTTTAAAGTCCGTATATCAGGAAATGCTAACTAATGCTAACCAATGCTAACCACTGTAGCGACCGGTGACAAACTGTTCCGGCTCCAGTTCGATCGACTCGAGTTTTGTAGCCATAAAAAAACTTAACTTTTTCAGGTTTAACGGTCGAGAGAACTGAAGCTCGCGTGTTCATATCCGAAGCCTTCCCAAGCTAACCGACGGTTGTTATGCTAGCTAGCCCGTGCTAAACTCCGCGTACAAACCCACAAATTATAACGTTATGAGTTTTTAAAAGGTGCATTGTGTAACTTTTCTGGGCGAAAGGTCCGTCAAATGTGTGTTATTGCATTGTCGGGAATGTTTCGCAGTATGGCATTAAACGTTTTAATCGTCACGGAGACTAAACCAGACCAGATCCGCGGAGAGGCGACCCCACTAACACTCAGAACACCCGTTTTTCTCGGTAATTTTGTACCATAAAATTGAAATTAATGTAAAGTAGAGCTGTTTAATGCCATACTGCGGAACATTCCAGTGTCGTATCCATCGAAACGAGCATGTGACGGAACCCGCCCTCCCCGACGAAAAAGTTTCACGTTACGCCTTTATATCTTAAATTCGACATTATTGGCGAAGATTTATATCGAAAAAATGAGTGAAAATGAATTTTATCGTTTTTTTAATCGTCGTCAGTTTACGTTGTATAAATGTCCAGTCCCTCATTTAGAATTTATTTTTGCGTTGTACAAAAATGTTTAGCGAAATGAATAGGCCTCGTGTGCGTTTTTCCGCACCGTAAGGTTTAAAACATTTCTTTATTTGAAATTTTCCGTGACATTTGCGTCGACAATGAACGTAAAGGCGCACTGCGTAACATTTCTTGCCTCTGCAGAAATGTTATTGCTTTTTCTAGAATGTTCCACGCCCCTGAAGGAATTATTGTGTCTCCATGGAGATGAGCAAGAAAAGTTACGCAGTGCATCTTTAAGGAAATTCCCCAAAAGTCAAGTGTCATGCTGTGTAGATAAATTGTCTAGATTTTAATGGTAGCCGACTTGTATTTTAGGCTCTGGTTTTGGGCTATCTTTTCTGAAATTAATCGAAATTTTGAATTAAAAATTTAAGATATCGAACATTTAATGCATGTTCCCAAGGTTATTATCCTTTTCACAAATTTAAATATGTAATCCCTGAAATTCTCCAATATTTCTGGCCATTTTTTGTCATTGAATAGGGAACCTTCAGAAAGCGATACTCCAAAAATTGTAATAAAAACACATACAATTCTGAAAAGTTTAGAAATATTAAAAAAAAACAAACAGTTGAACACATTCCTGTTTTAAGATAATTTAAACAAAACTAAACAAAAACAGTCAAAAACTACTTTAGGCTGGATCTGAAGTTTTCGAATTTCGATAAATTTTGAGAATTTTGGGGGTGGATTGTGTAAAGGTTCAAATTTAATGTTGCTGTTATTATTGTTTTTTGTTTCTGTTTTTTGATGAAATGCACAAAATGTTAAGAATTATTTTTGTGTCTGGCATCTTAAATTGTAAATTGTAACTGTTCTTGTTGACTCTACATTTTTGGTGGCTTTGGATTATATTGACAAATCTTATAAAAAAAAATTCTGTAAAAAAAAAAGAAGGGAAAATCACATAAAATTCCTGATATTTTAAAATCATTTTCAGTGTAATCCAAAGTAAACCGCTTTTAAGCCTGTTCTGCCTTGAAACTCTTTTGTTTCTTATTCTTTGCTTCAGAACCTCAAATTAAATAATGGTATATATTTTTAAAAGCAGAATTTTGACACATTTCTATCGTAAAATGTTTTCGTAATATCTAAATTTTAACTTGTTTTGGCTCTTTAAACCTACCTCCATCGGCTGCAATCTGGCCCAATATTTTTTTTTTGTTTCGTTTTTTGTTTAAGATTATTTTTGGTGTAAATATATATTTTTGGTTATTGTATCATAAATTATTTTAGTCAGTTTTTGAGTTTTCTGCTCAATTTTCTGCATTGTATTTTTTTTTTTTTTTTTTTTGAGTTTGTAATTTTTGCTGAGACACTTTCAGAATATAATAAAATTGAATGCAAGATTTAAAACTACTGTTGTTTTTATTGAAATGGAAGAACAACAAAACGTGTTGTTAAAAGTAATTTTATTCCAAAATATTACATCAGTTAGTAGTTATAAAAGTAGCAGTGTAGTAGTAGTAGTAGTACTTAGTAAAAGTAAAACATCTATTATGTACTGCAATACTACATTACATATTGTGAAGTTATCAAACAGAGAATACTACAGCTACTTCATTCATAACTAGTACTACTACTAGTACTACGACTATGACTACTACTACTACTACTACTAGTACTTCAACTATGACTACTACATCTACCACTACTACGACTACTACCACTTCTGCTACTACTACTACTACTACCACTACTACTACTACTACCACTTCTGCTACTACTACTACTACTTCTGCTGCTGCTACTACTACTACTACTACTACTTCTGCTACTACTTCAGCTGCCACTACTACTACTATTACTACTATCAGTGCTACTACTACTACTACTACAGCTGCCGCTTCTACCACTACTACTACTTCTGCTGCTACTACTAGTACTAATACTACTACTACTACAAATACTGCTACTACTTCTGCTGCTAGTACTGCTACTACTACTTCTGCTACTACTACTACTACTTCTGCTACTACTTCTGCTGGTAGTACTACTATTACTATTACTTCTATCAGTACTTCTACCACTACAGCTGCTGCTTCTACTACTACTACTACTATTACTACTAGTACTACTATTACTACTACTACTACTACTACTACTACTACTACTACTACTACTACTACTACTACTACTACTACTACTACTACTACTACTACTACTACTACTACAACTACTACTACAGCAGCTGTTTCCACTACTAGTACTACTATTACTACTACTACTACTACTACTATTACTACTACTACTACTACTACTACTACTACTACTACAACTACTACTACTGCTGCTGCCACTACTAGTACTACGACTACTCCTGCTACTACCACTACTACTACAGCAGCTGTTTCCACTACTAGTACTACTATTACTACTACTACTACTACTACTATTACTACTACTACTACTACTACTACCACTACTTCTACTTCTGTTGCTACTCCAATTAGTACAACTACTACTACCTGTAATCATCCAAACACTGAGTGAAGCCTGTTATGAAAAACGTAGATTGTTCACACCACTGATCAATATGACTCATAATACTAATATGAATACTACAACTATTACTACTACTACTACACTAATACTACAACTTTGAAAATGTGTGAAACGAAAGGGGGTTTCTCCAGTTCACACAAAGTTACTGAGAAACTTCATAAATTTGTAAAAGCAACCGTCAGCAACTGCAGTACTTCAAATAGTAGTAGAAGTAGCAGCAGTATTAGTAGTAGTGGTAGCAGTTATAGTAATAGCAGTAGTGGCAGTGGTAGTAGTAGTAGTCGTAGTCGTAGTAGTAATAATAGTAGAAGTAACAGTAGAGTAGTAGTAGTAGTAGTAGTAGTAATATTAGTAGTCGTAGTAGTAGTAGTAGCAGTAGTAGTAGTAGTAGTTGTACTAGTTGTAGTCATTGTAGTAGTAGTAGTAGTAGTAGTAGCATTAGTTGCAGTAGTAGTAGTAGTAGTAGCAGTACTAGTAGTAATAGTAGTAGTAGTAGTAGTAGTAGTAGTAGTAGCAGTTATAGTAGTAGTAGTAGCAGTAGTAGAAGTAGTAGTAGTAGTAGTAGCAGTAGTAGTAGTAGTAGTAGTAACAGTTATAGTAGTAGCAGTAGTAGTAGTAGTAGTAGTAGTAGTAGTAGTAGTAGCAGTTATAGTAGTAGTAGTAGTAGTAGCAGTTATATTAGTAGTAGTAGTAGTTGTAGTAGTAGCAGTTATATTAGTAGTAGTAGTAGCAGTAGTAGTAG